TACCATGTCAGCCGGCACACGCTGGTCCTGAACAACAAGAGTTTAGTGAGATTTTTGCTAAATAGTTATCCGTAGGAATACCATGTCAGCCGGTACACGCTGGTCCTGAACAACAAGAGTTTAGTGAGATTTTTGCTAAATAGTTATCCGTAGGAATACCATGTCAGCCGGTACACGCTGGTCCTGAACAACAAGAGTTTAGTGAGATTTTTGCTAAATAGTTATCCGTAGGAATACCATGTCCGCCGGCACACGCTGGTCCTGAACAACAAGAGTTTAGTGACATTTTTGCCATATATAGTGCATTATGGGTTGAAGTTAGTCTGTGAATGTAATAGTGATGTTTTTGCTACGTAGAATGCATTATTGGTTTAAAGTTAATTCGTGAATGTAATGGTTTAAAGTTAATTCGTGAATGTAATAGTGATAGTTTTGCTTCATATAGTAATGCATTATTAGTCAAACATACTCCGGGAATGTACATCTTCCTACGTGTAGCATTTAATTAGAACATTTAATAAATAATATATAGTAATTAAACTCAGCAGCTGCGGAGGTAAGGCTCAGAGTAATGATAATATTGTTCTGCATAATAATATTTCAGAGTTATGATAATATTGTTCTGAATCTGTTAATGTTTCGTGTTTCTGTTCTAATATAAAATAATTAGAGATAGGTTTGAAATAGGTAATACAGCATTGAAAAGAAAAAAGGCTTTATTTCTTTGTATGGAGCCCACCACGAGACAAGCCATTACTTATCACGCGGGTTCTGTGCTCCGTTTATTCAGAGTTCAGATTACCAAATGAATTTCCTTTGGTTCCTTTTCATTTCAATTCTTACTTTTTACCGCCGAGTTTGTTCTTTAATAAATGTTTCAAAACGGTAAATTTTATTAAACCTGGGCACGCAAGTTCGTCTCACTCTGTGTGGATCCTAAAACAAAAATGATCCATAAAATTAATCATTGCAGCTGGAATCAAGTCACGAAAAGTACAAGAATCGGCAACAGGCCATGGGCCTATTTCTTCAGTGCCGACACTTCTATTATATTCTATGAACAAGAATCGGCAACAGGCCATGGGCCTATTTCTTCAGTGCCGACACTTCTATTCTATCCTTCAGTTTCCGTAAGTGAAAACTAATCAGTGATTCAAGTCAGCTATTGCCGGAATTAGTTATTTCTGGCCCCATTAAGAAAAGCCACTTTTCATTTCAATAAATGATAGTAAGGTTAGATGACCTTGAACAATTTACATTCGACCTCTGTGGATTCAAAGTTTTTCTATTAAATTTCAACACGTCTTCAACTTTTTAGTCCATCAATTAATAACTTTGAACTAAACCAAGATAACATCAGACCAAGTAAAATGTTTAAAACCTTCTGGATAAAAATTTCTATTGAATTTCTGCACATCTTCAACTTCTCATTCCATTGACTAATCACTTTGAACTAAACCAGGATAACATCAGACCAATTAAAATGTTTTAAACCCTCTCGACGAAGATTTTTAGTAGATTTATGCACGTCATCAACTTTTTAGTCCATTGACTAATCTTCTTTTGAACTAAACCAGGATAACATTAGCCCAAGTCTTCAATTTTTCAATTCATTGATCAATCTCATTTTGAACTAAACCAAGATAACATTAGACCAAATAAAATATTTTAAACCTTCTCCACGAAGATTTCCATTACATTTATGCACGTCATCAACTTTTTAGTGATTAATCTAATTTTGAACTAAACCAAGATAACATTAGACCAAATAAAATGTTTGATTTAAACCTTCTCAATGAAGATTTCTTTTACATTTACGCACGTCTTAAACTTTTCAGTCCATTGATGAACCTCATTTAGAACTATACAACGATAACATTAGCATTTTAAATCTTCTCGACGAACATTAGACCAAATAAAATGTTTTAAACCTTTTCAACAAAGATGAGGTCGCCGACTTTGATGTTAGCGCTGGTGACGGCCGTGGTGCCGCCGTCCCCCGTCATGCTGCCGCCCCTGGCGCCCACGCGCTTCCTGTGGACGGCGGTGGGCGACACGAGCTTGCGGTACACCTGTCCGTTGACCTCCTGGTCACGACGCCAGCGCCTGATGTCGTCCACAGCCTCGCGGATCATCGTAATTATCAACACAAAACCCTGCAATACGATAAATGTATGTAAATATCAACAAGATAAGTAACAAGAGTACCTAACAAGAGCATTATGGAACACACACAGCCTTGCGTATCATCGTAATTATCAACACAAAACCCTGCAACACGGCAAATATACGTAAATATCAACAAGATAACAAGTAAAAAGAGTAACAAGAGAATTATGGAATTTTTTTATTAAGAGACGCCAGCGCCTGATGTCGTCCACAGCCTCGCGGATCATCGTAATTATCAACACAAAACCCTGCAACACGGAAAAAATGTATGTAAATAATAAGATAAGTAAAAAGAGTACGGCAAAATGTACGTAAATAATAAGATAACAAGTAAAAAGAGCAACAAGAGCATTATGGAACACACAGAGCCTCGCGGATCATCTTAATTATCAACACAAAACCCTGCAACACGATAAATGTATGTAAATAATAAGATAACAAGAGTATTATGGAACTTTTTTATTATGATTATGAAAATTTAGAACCTAGATGAAGAAGTAATATTAACCATTCAAACATGCCATCAGATGTGCACGACATAAAATCTATTAAACAAATTAAAGACATTGCATTTCTTAAGTAGCATAATAGGGAATTTGATGTAAAATGTTAGTCTCCAAGCTTTTTCTGTCCTCGGGTTCTCAGAACTGGTCAATTTATTGACAACATTCTATACTTTAATTTAATTTAATACTTAATAACATTCCATACTTTAATTTAAAAGTAAAGAAAATAGCCAAAAAGTTCGCCATTTCTTATAAGAGAAAACGTTTCGGAGTCCAGCTCCATCGTCAGTTCAAAACCTCGAACACAGGTACAAACAATTAGTAGCCTCCACAACCTGACCTACTAATTAGAGAATCATTATATATATTATATATAGTATATATTTATATTATATATTATATATAGTATATATTTTCAAACAGAAGCCCAGTTTAAATGCCGCATTCAGTTCCTATCCTCTACAAATGCAAATAGATAGTACCTTCTCCACGTGTTATCTCATTTTTATTTGTTTTATTTTTTATAAATTTTAGTTCTAATGTTCTCAAGTTTAGGTGAATTGTTTAAAAGTGAATTTTAGGCTACTAAATGTTTAGGTAACTAATTCCTGGTAAATTTGCGACTTGATCATAATACTTACATTCTATACTAATTTTACAGCTGTTATTGAGTTAATAATTAAAACTGTACACTTGCCGATGTAAGTCATATAATTAAATAAATATTTATTTATTTATTTAAATATTAATATAAAATATTCTTATAAATATTAAATATTGATATTATTTATTTTAATAAAGCTGGACTGCAAGCAGAATGAAATTCTGAAGTGATAAAAAGTACAAGCACACATGGGAATAATATAATAATATAATATGTTAATAATTAATTAACATAATAATTAATATGTTAATAATATGTTTGGTTATTGACTCCAACACATACAAATAATTTCGATGGAACTCAACATTTCAACTCAGTTTACTCAGCTGCTGCGTATGGCTTTACTTCTTCAATGTAAAATAAGATACTATTTTACATTGTAAAATAAGATACTATTCTTCAATGTAAAATAAGATACTATTTTACAATGTAAAATAAGATACTATTCTTCAATGTGAAATAAGATACTATTCTTCAATGTAAAATAAGATACTATTTTACAATGTAAAATAAGATACTATTTTACAATGTAAAATAAGATACTATTCTTCAATGTAAAATAAGATACCTACTATTTTACAATGTAAAATACGATACTATTTTAGTCTCCCTCTAGTCCTCATGTTTAAATGTTAAACTTGTATGTTAAACTAAATGTTAAACTTGTGGTTAAAACTTGTGAAGATCCAGACAAGTTGTGGGGATATTTACTAGCGTAAAATCTTCTTTTTGTAGCTCCACCCATTAAAAAATATTTGTAGGGCGAGGCAAAAAGCATTTCCGTATATAAATTTTGAGATACTCACAAGAGGGCCCCAGTAAGTGTAGAGATACTCACAAGAGGACCCCAGTAAGTGTATACTCACAAGAGGGCCCCAGTAAGTGTAGAGATAACCAATGCGCAGCTCTGGGATGAACTGGGAACAAGCCATAACCAAGAAGTAGAGGTTCAGGAAGAACTTGAACTGTTCGAACAGCACCTGTCACATGAGATATACAGTTACCAAATCATTGCTTAACAACTGTCTTACCAATACAGCAAGATGAGATTGCTTCTTTTGAACTGCTTGACAATAAAAGAGTTGGTTTATAAAAAAGTCTAGGTTAATGTAAAAACTATATATCTTGAGACTATTTTTAAACTTAACAAGGTTATATTAAAAATTACATGTGAGAAGCTGATGTTATTTAAAGCAAGTAATTCACAGAAAATCTATTTTCGCCAAATATGTCAAACACCCCCTCCCCCAAAAAGAAAACAAAAAAAAAACAGACTGCCTGTGTGGTGGGCACAGTTTTAACAGTACCACATCCTCCCTGTATGTGCATATGCTGATGACATTCATCAGTTAGTGTGCCATGCATTGCTACCCTACACTGTTAGAAAAATTACCGTTAACGGCATTACCGGCGTTTCAGTGGCCGGTCGGCACGTGAAAAGAAACAACGTGTCACCGTTTTTATTTTAATTTATCACTAGAAATCCGTAAAACATCTGATAAAAACGATGAAACAGTTTATTTTCACGGAGCAACCGGCCACTAGAACGCCGGTGGGACCGTTTTTTCAACGTTTTTTCCAACAGTGTAGACGGCTGTGTTCCATTATTGCAAACTTTTTTTTGACTCTTCTTTCGCGTAAGGTACTCATCATTTTTGATCACGACTGATTATTGTGTGCAAAGTGCTGCCATCAAATTTTGCTTTCTTATGTGAAAATCTGGGAAGGAAATGCTAGACAGCCTACAAGGATGATGCTATGGGGAGACTGCAAGTTTTTTAGTGGTTTTCCCACATCAAACAGGGGATATGATTAATCAATCATATCCACAATGGGGATAATCAATCAAACATATCCCCTGGTGGATACCCCCAATCATCTTGGTGGTCAATTGATTGGATGTCAATTGACCACCAACCGTGCTCCGGTCATCATACCACTTACCGCACTGAAGAAAAGTTTAGAATATTAGGGACCTAATCCATGAAGATCAAAGTATAACTATTAAAAAGCTTGTGGAACTGTCTCAAATAACATATAGTTCACTCCAACAAGTTCTAAAAGAAGATTTTGGATAAATAAATGAATTTAAAAATTTAGTCCACTTTCTTTTGGCTCCCCCCTCATATTACACAATAGCCTTAAAGTGACTGCTATTCAATTTTACTATTCTCAATGAATTGAATGAGATGACCTGAAAAATCATGATTTTTTATAAAAAAATCAACATCCACATGAAAACATCCACAAGGATGAATGTTATGCATGACTCACCATAGGTATGAAAGTGATGACATTGTACTTTTGGTTCCTGACAGTGTTGGGGGGATAGTGCACTGAGGGGTCAGGCACTCCAAGACGCACAGTGCGAGCACTGAGCTCACCTCTTCTACAGCAGCCCCACATGGCACAGGGGCAGCACAACCTGCAACACAGCAAGGGATGCTGGAAAACCATTTTTAGCACATTTATCATTTATGAAAAAAGGCGCTATTGTGATCGTCATGTCTGTTCGTCCATCTGTCTGTCCGTGACTTCACGTTGCTGAGTATCCATGATACGTACACTGCAACAAGAAAATGCACTCTGTCACTCACTGCAGTGAGTAATGATATATTTTTTTTATACAAACAAAGGTTAACAATAGATGTGATACTAGTTTATGAAGAGTTAATAGAGATGACATTAGTTTGATAATCTACACTGCTACTTAGTTCGATCATCATCTATACTTCTACTTAGTTCGATCATCCAGACTTCTACTTAGTTTGATCATCTATACTTCTACTTTGTTCATCTTGTCTAAGTGTTCACATACTTTATACAGAAAGAAGTGGCTAGCTATTTATAAATGTGATATGAACGATGAAAAAAGTACGTTAAATTTATCAACTATTTTAAATTAGTTTGACTGCAGGCTGCAGCCCAAGTCTTGGAGGAGGCATTATACTTAACTCTACATACAGGCCGATATATGTTAACATATTTTTTTTTCATTTTTTATCAATTACATCCCTTGGGATGTTGAAGTTTTGATGTTATCATTATACTTAACTCTACATACAGGCCGATATATGTTAACATATTTTTTTCATTTTTTATCAATTACATCCCTTGGGATGTTGAAGTTTTCATGTTATCAAATAGAAAAACAGATTACATATACCTATGCATATACCTTTTTACTACCTATATTGATAGTCTGCATCTCTTCAAAAACCAACATTGATTGATGAGTAAAAATTTTTCCTATTTGTGTCTATTTTATGATTATACTGAAGTACACATAATAGGACATAATTCATAAATTGAAATATAGAAAATATATATTACAAAGAAAAGGCAACTATGGTTTAGGCATTGTGGATTTGCAAGAATTTTTTAGGAGCCTTCTGTTCGTTGAGTAAAGTGTAAATACAGGCTTCCAAAAATATCAGAAGGAATGGTACCAGTAATTTTCCCAATCACATATGAAAAAAATTTATACTTTATTAACTCATCCAAGTTTTCAAAATCAGTAATGTAATATGTAACATTATATAATATTGAGATTATTTACAAATAATAAATAATCAATGCAGTAAAAAAATAGCTTTACTCAAGACCTACATCTCACCTCAAACAGAATGATCTCCAGTAGCAAGAAAATCTTGAATACCTCTTGCTTGAACGTCTTGATGGGAAATCAATTTCAGGATGGGCAGAAGAAAGCAAAGATTGAGACTCGTCTTCCTCAAAGTCACCAGCACTTTGGGACAATGGTTGCATTTCCCTTCATTGAAATCTGTCTTGAAATCAATCAAACCCTGAAAGAACAGTTTGAGTAAGGCATTTCCATTTTTATTGGCAGGCCGCCATATCTTTCCAGGCACGGCATGCCTCTATATAAAAGATCAACTGCCTGCTTGTAACTTCAATAGTAACAATAAGGGTGCTGACAGTGTGGAATTCTAGAGGGATAATAACTTAACTAGTACACATAGCATATTGGAAAGCAGGACCTGAAAGCTTGGAAAGGCCAGGAACTTTACACTTTCAGTCCATTATTTACATATCCTATCCCTTTCCAGAATTCCATCTGTGATTGGTTGATAGGATTGTGATTTTAGCCCCTTTCAGCTTTCCAGCTGTAGTTGGATAATGGAATTGTAATGTTATCTGCTTTCTAGCTGTGATTGATTGATAGGGATGCTTTCAAGCAGGGTTGGCGATTTTTTTTTATTTTTTTAAAAAAATGAAAAAAATAAAAAATCAATGATTTTTTTTATTTTTTCATGATTTTTTTTACTTATTTGATTTTTTTGACTTATTCAACTTTTTTTGTCTTTTTGATGTGTTATTTTTTATGTTGCAATTAGCCTACTAGCAATAACAGTATATGGATCATAATGGATGGCTAAAAAGGGCACTTATTGCCTTCAATAATGGCCAACAGGCCAAGGTAGTGTTTACCACTTAGGGATTTTTGGGTAAACAATTATTGGATTGGTACTATGTCTATTCATTAGCTTTGTAAAGTTTGTATGGAGCAAGGTAATAAGCTAAATATTGACCATTTAACTGGCTTCAATATACAAAAACACTTCAGGAATGCAGATCTTCTAAACATTGAAGAGTCAAATAACAGATAGGTAGCTGATAGCACAGTGCACAGCACTATCAATAGATCCACTAGTTTTATGTCCTAAAAATCTACCAGGCTCTACCCTCTATACACACCGACTAGTAGTGACTGTAGCTGATAGCACAGTGCACATCACTATCAATAGATCTACTAGTTTTATGTCCTATAAATCTACCAGACTCTACCCTTTATACACTGCGACTAGTAGTGACTGAGTGACTGACTGCACTGTTCCCATTTAATTCAGACCAATAAACCAATACTAAACGTAAACTGAACGATAACCAAACAAACCTCATACGTCTTGAAACAAGACTTAAGTTATGAGAAAATCTAATACTGTTTGAAATAAACATGTGCACAAGATTGAGCAGTGTTGAGGTAAAATAAAAGAGTAATGGAGGTACACAAAGAAGAAAGTTTATTTTCCTAAAAGTTAGCATAACATACCATTTAGAATAGTTATGTTTTGAAAACAATATCTGGAAGATGGGGCTATTAGCTGCAACACCAACACACTGTTGGAGTCATTTTCGGAGGAGGGAGTAACCGTGATAGTGAATTCCGATCGCTATGCTGCAATGTTGCAAAATGTCTTGCAGCCCATGATGGAAAACATTTTTAAAAATGAAGCATTGGAAGACATGTGGTTCCAGCAGGGTGGGGCTACAGCACAGCTCACACAGCCCGAATGTCACCCAATGTTTTGAAACACATGTTTCCCAGAGGTCTGGTGTCTCTGAGGGGTGATTTACACTGGCCTGTGAGGTCACTTGATTTGAGCATTTGCCATTTCTTTCTTTGGGGACATCTAAATGAGAAGGTGTTCGGAAGTCGCCCTCACACCCTACCACAGCTAAGGGAACGGATTATTGCAGCAGAGGCCGGAGGTTCCACACTCACCACTATGCAGAGGGTGGATGCAGCGTCAGCAATATATGGATTTTTAAGCCCAAAGCGTCGCCGGCCATTTTAAAGATGCGTCGCCAAGTAATTTTTAATGAAAAGCCATTTAAGCTGAGACTGAGTAATGACGAACTATTTACAAGCCACGAACTTATTACAAGGTTGCATCATGCACGTGTTACCCCAAATAACTAATTTTACCCTAAAAACAGTCCGGTTGTACAGCAAGTGTCAACTGAACAAGTAATAAAGCAGTCTGACTGCTCTAATGCGACCGAAACTACACAATCAAAAAAATGTTGTTTACATTTTTTGCGGGAACTCATCGCAACTGATTTCCGGACAAGCTTTGCTGCATCGTAATCCATCCAACGTACCGGAAACCTTACTTTTTTTCTAAATAGTTGGCTGAAGACAGAGAAATATATTAAATGCAAGAATTTCAATCTAAATGTGTCGGCAAGATCTTCTGAAGGCGAAAATTTTGCCAATAATGCGTCACCGTAGGTCTTTAAATCTTCGTTCACTCTCTGCACAGTGGCACACTCAGGATGATGTATGTTTTCTGTGAATTTTCCTGCGCATTTTTACTTTTTTTAAGCTATTGCTGTGCACAGTTGGCGCAATGTAATGAAAATTGATTATCTTTGCGCACGTGTTCACGCAATCCCGGCCATCTTTATTTTAGAAGAAATTTTCTCCAAAGTCATATGGCAACACTGAACACCATCCCATCTGTTTACATTTTGTATGTATAACAGCCGCAGTTTACGATTACCGTACGTTCCGTATCCGACAAGGCAGACAACCGGAAGAGTCAGAAGTAACCCTGACATGTCTTACATTTTATTATTGTCAGTTCGACTTGCGTAGTCAATATACTCGTGTATATTGTCGACTAAAATAGTAGAACTATTTTAGCTTTCTAAAGTACGGCGCACGGCGCATTTTTTTACCAACATAGTATGGCACACCGTGCAGGTCGTTAAATGAAAAAATAAATTCCCGCGCACCTGGCACATCTTCCTGACCATGGCTGAAGAGGTTAGGCATAGTGGCAAACCAGAGCTTTTTTAGAATCAGTTCATTTTTAATTTCCTCATTTACTCAAGATTTGAACCAATTTCTTATGTATGATAATGCTGGTATCCAGGATACTTTATTGGTCTACTTATAGGACTCAAAAATGAACTTGAGGGAGAGTCTAAAAAACTCTCTGCTTTGCCACTATGAGGTTAGGTTAGGTTAGGAATGGAAACTAACCTTTAATATCATTTGGGACTAAAATGTAGATCTTTCAACAACACACGCGTTGTATTTAATAGTTGAATTCGATATGAAGGAAAAATTATGCAATGATGAGCTTTTTATTTTCTGTTGAAAATTAATTAAAACTATGAAGTTGAATGTTGAACGTTGATGTTTTAGGAGTTATACACTTTATTATCGTTGGTTTCTCAACGAAGGACAAATTTGAAGTAAGCACCATTTATGGGCGGCTCTCTCGTTTCTTACTTGAACTGAATCACTCTCGAAGTACACAGAACTACGATAGAACAGTTGGCTATCTTCTTCTTCTTCTCCGGGTGTCCACGCTGGGTGGACTTAAAGCCACAGGACAACCGCAAGGATGACCGTTGGGCCTGAGAGCTTCTGCAGTTTTGAACCTCTTGGCATGGAAGTTGATCCACTTTATTCTCGCTTGTAAAAGGTCAGTGGACGTGATGGTTGGGCATGACAGCGTGTAAGAGAAAAGTTACACATAACATGAAAACAAAAATATCAGAAAGCAAGGGTCATTGCTTATAGAACTTGGTATAATAATTGATAGTTAAATTGGGTAAACTAATACAAGTACAATAATTTGGGTGATGCATGGTGTATACATGCACATACATATAAATATATACCACATGTACATACACACTTATACATATGTAAGCAACATTTTCATTTTGGTCACCTGTCTAAAGTTCACTAACCCTACCTACCTGACTTCAAAATGTATACTATCAAAGATTGAAAGATTTTCCTTTGTACATCAGCATCATAGTTCCCTCCCCCCAGAAGTTCACGCACAGAAAATTGTACATTTATACATCTTAAATTAGTTTTCAGCTCTTGTCTGGGCTGTGCATGCCGCTGACAATGC